TTAATTCTTAATTCTCAATTCTCAATTATCAATTATCAATTGTCAATTCTTAATTCTCAATTCTTAATTCTTAATTCTCAATTCTCAATTCTCAATTTTCAATTATTCTTAATTTTGAATTTTTACTATTTAGTTTAGAAATGTATATATATATAGCGAAGTTCCAAAGGTTAACAAGCAAAAAGAGGAGTCTTAATATTAATCCATGAAAGATTCAAGAAAAACATTACCAATTGGGAGATGATAGATGAAAATATACTAAAAGTATACATTATCACATATATCAAAGAAAAGTAATGGTTGGAGTCTATGCAAATCTGATGATGAAACGATCGCTAAGAAAGAGGAGTTCTTTGAAAAACTAGAAAGAGCGCTAACAAACATTGGGACAAATAGAGAAATAATACTTCTAGGAAACCTAAATAGTCGTACAGGAAATCAAACAAATAGTAAACTTGTGGGACCATTTGGAGAAGCTCATATAAACGATAATGGAAAAAAACTTATAGAAGTATGTGAGCATAATGAACTAAGAATTGCGAATGGGTTCTATAAACATAAGGATGTACATAATTATAAGATGGATACAACAAACAAGGAACCTAAAGTCAATAATAGACTATTTAATAGTACAACAAAAAACAGAATTACAAGTACAAGACGTCAGAGTTTGCAGAGGAGCTCCACACAGACCACCACCTACTTGTGTCAAAAATACACTTCCCATTAAACAGGAATAATAACACGGAGAACAAAAAGCAAGACACATTAAAATATTGTGATATAGAGCGGCGCGATACAATCTGGACAGTTTGCAGCATGAAAGCACTAAGAGGTTATATCAAACAAGGTTAGATGAGAAGCTTAATAGCACAGACAATCAAACAATAGAAGAGATATATGAAAATATCACAAACAGCATTAGGGGAGCGGCGAAGGAAGCACTCGGTACGACAAATAAGAAGGTCAGTAAAAAGATATGGTGGAATAAAATGGTGGGCCGGTATTGATGGGAGATCGGAGAAATTAGCGTAGTAGTGGAGCAGTCGTGGAGTAGCAGCCTAAGTGCTAGGCGTGTGCATGAACGAAAAGGATCCCGAGTTTGAGTCCCGGTCGGCTCCGTTAATTTTTTCCGTCGCTTACAACTTTTAATACTTTTTTTATAAGTAAACTAGAAATTAATAATGTTTTTTAACAGTAATATGTTTATTACAATGCTCCACAATAAATATTTGTACCAACAGAAAAAAATATTAAAATATGTTATTAAAACAAAACATTACATCTTTGAAAAAAGTCAATATTTGAATATTAGATGGAATATCATTTCATTGTATGATATAAGCAAAACGTACGTATAATTACTCATCAAGTGCGAGTGTTAATTCCTATACTGTTATTTGTTTAAATGACTAAACAGGCAAACACGATATTCTTAACTTTGACGTTCTGCGGAAGGATCCATACTACAATCCGCTAAACTAGGTTATACTAAGTTATACTTGATGCTAGGTTATACTAAGTTATACTTGATGCTAGGTTATACTAAGTTATACTTGATGCTAGGTTATGCTTGGTGCTTGGTCTGCATAGAAATGTGATGTAATTAAAAGTAAAAAAAAGTACAATAATAAAAATTTTCACACTTGTAAGTTATATTTGTGTAGAAAAATCAATATTTAATTAGTTAGGAATTTATTACATTGTATGATGAAACCAATACGAATAAAGTGCGTTTGTTTCTTCTGTAGTTTGTTCAAATGATTGAACAGGTAAACCAGGTTGTTCTCCACTTTGATGTTCTGCAGAAGGAGCCATAACATAACACGTTGAACTTGAAGTGCTTGGTCTGCATAGAAATGTGGTATAATTAAAAATTAAAAAGAAACAACTATTTAAAATGTTGTAAGTTACATTTATGTAGAAAAGTCAATATTTAACCAGTTGGATGTTATTACATTGTATAATAGAACCAATTCGAATGAAGTGCGCTTGTTCCTTCTGTCATTTGTTCAAATGATTGAACGAGTAAACCAGATGGTTCTCCACTTTGATGTTCTGCAGAAGGATCCATAATATAATCCGCTGAACTTGAAGTGCTCGGTCTGTATAGAAACGTGATGTGATTAAAAATAAAAAAGAGAGAGTAATTATATTTAAAATATGTCATACAGTTGTAAAAATACTTGTGCAGAAAAGTCAATATTTAACTATTTGGTTACCATTACATTTTACTATATAAGTAAAACGAATAATTACTCATCAAGAATTCCTGCATTTTCTTTAAATGATTGAACGGGTAAATCAAATGGTTCTCCATTTTGATGTTCTGCAGAAGGACCCATAATATAATCCATTGAACTTGAAGTGCTTGGTATGCATAAAAATGTGATATGTTTAAAAATAAATAGGAGAGAGTAATTATTTAAAATTGTTATAGTTGTAAGTTATATATTTGTGTAGAAAGGTCAATATTTACCTATTTGGAACCATTATATTGTATATAATATAAGTTATAATATTAAATATAAGATATAAAAACAAAACAAATAATTACTTATCAAGTGCGCTTGTTTCTTTTCTCGTTTGTTCAAAACATTGAACGGGTAATTCTTGACTTTGAAGTTCTGCAGTAGGATTCGTATCAAAACTTGTTGTAATTGATGTGCTTGGTCTGCAATGAAATACGGTACAATTAGAAATGGAAATATTTAAAATATTAACGTTGTAAATCATTTTTTTGAAGAGAAGAGTAAATATTTTAATAATATCATTCTATTGTATTAAAGCAAACAAATAATTACCCATCAAGTGTCGTTATTTCTTTTTTCGATTGTTCACATGATTGAAGAGTCAAATCAACTGTTTCCTGACTTTGACCTACTGCATTGGGATCCGTAATATAACACGGTGAACTTGAATTGTTTGGTCTGCATAGAAATGTTTTGTAACCAAAAATAGAAAAAAAGAGCAATTATTTAAAATGTCACAGTTATAAATTACATTTGTATAGAAAAGTCAATATTTAACTAGTTGAGTATCATTACATTGTATAATAAAACCAATATGAATAAAGTGCGCTCGTTCCATCTGTGACTTGTTCAAATGATTGAACGGGCCAATCAGGTAGTTCTAGATATTGACATTCTGCAGAAGGATTTGTATCATAACCCGTTGAACTTGAAATGCTTAGTCTGCATCAAAAAAGTGTAATTAGAAATGGAATTATTTAAAAGATTAACGTTATATTCTTTTGCAGAAGAGTAAATATTTTAATATTAAGGTATCATTATATTGCATAATGTAAACAAACAAATAATTACCCATCAGGTGCCCTTGTTTCGTTTCTCGATTGTTTACAAGATTGAAGAACCAAATCATCTATCTCCTGACTTTGACGTTCTGCATTGGGATCTATATTATAATTCGCTGTACTTGAAGTGCTCGGCCTGCATTGAAAAACGGTGCCATTAGAAACAGAATTATTCAAAATATTAACGTTATATAAATTACTCTCTTGCAAAAGAGTAAAAATTTAAATATTGAGATATCATTGTATTGTATGATATAAGAAAGACGAATAATTACTCATTAAGTGTGCCTGTTGTTTCTGTAGTTTCTTTAAATGGTTGAACGGGCAAGCTAGATATATCTTGACTTTGACGTTCTGCAGAATTATCCGTAATATAATCCATTACATTTGAAGTGCTTGGTCTGCATTAAAATACGGAGAAATTAGAAATAATTAGAAATTATTTGATACATTAACATTGTAAATTATTCTTTTGCAAAAGAGTAAATATTTAAATATCAAGATATTATTATATTGTATGATATAAGAAATACGAATAATTACTCATCAAGTGCGCCTGTTTTTTCTATCGCTTCTTTAAATGATTGAACAGGCAAACCAGGTGGTTCTTGTTCTTGACTTTGACGTAAAGAGATATTTTTTTCTGTAGAAGGATCCATAATATAACCCGTTGAACTTGAAGTGCTTGGTTTGCATTGAAATACGATGCAATTAGAAATGATATTATTTAAAATATTAACGTTATAAATTATTTGTTTCCAGAAGAGTATAAATATTTCAATAGTAAGATATCATTACATTGTATGATGTAAACAAAACAAATAATTACCCATCACATGTCCTTGTTTCTTTTTTCGATTGTTCACAAGATTGAAGAGCCAAATCAATTGTTTCTTGACTTTGACGTTCTGCATTCGGATCCATATCGGTACCAGTTGAACTTAAAGTGCTTGGTCTGCATTGAAAACGGTGCATTTAGAAACGGAATTGTGTAAAATATTAACGTTGTAAATCATTACTTTGCAAAAAAGTAAATATTTAAATATCAATATATCATTACATTGTATGATAAGAAAAACGAATAATTACTCATTAAGTGCGCCTGTTTTTTCTGTCATTTCTTTAAATGATTGAACGGGCAAACTAGATGTGTCTTGACTTTGACGTTCTGCAGAATTATCCATAATATAATCCACTAAAGTTGAAGTGCTTGGTCTGCATAGAAATGTGGTGTAATTAAAAATAGAAATAAGTAATAATTCTTAAAATACTAAACTGTACGTATTACTTAATGCTATTATATACTTAGGCCGGTATTCATAGTCGGATCTTAAACTTAAGACCGTCTTAAGTACGATCTTTAGATGTAATAAACAAATCACAGAGTATTAGCATCATAAGACATTATTTAAGACGGTCTTGAAATAAGATCCGACTACGAATACCGACCTAATTCACCGTAATGGAGTGAATTTTTGTAAGTAAGTGTGAGAAGGAAAGGAAGAAAGAGAAAGAGATAGAGAAAGAATTCTTTATATCTCTTTATATAGGGTTCGTGCTTAAATAGGATAATTATCTCGGCAAATAATTATACTAACGTAGTTTATTTCTTTGGTGACAATGCATCTACATTTAAACGGAAACACATTCGCTTACTTTCATAATATACATTATAGATATAATTTTTTTATTGCTATTTTTATACCTATTTTATTTTAATCCTGTAAGCTGCAAGTTTTTTATTTGTATATACTAAAGGGTTCTTCTCACAAATAAAGATTAATATTATTACTAGGAGAAAGTGGGGTAATAGTGCGCACCTAAGGTAAATCTGTTAATATAAAATGGCTTTACAATTAATTTAAATGCAGCTATAGAATCTTTATACGTTTATCTACAAGTATGTAACTCATATCTATACTATAATCTATACATCGCTGTACTATAATATAAAATTCTTACGGGTGGTGTGTGTTTGAACGTTATTAACTTAAGAACTATTGGACCAACTTTGAAAAAATTTATACCAATATGTTCCTTGAAATCTCAGGAGTACTATAGGGCAATTTAATTTGGCGGTTCTTTTTTAAAAAGTGATTTTTTTGAATTTATAGCATTTTTGTTAATTAGTATGTATGTATGTTTGCTTTTATATTTCAAAAAGTTTTAAAGAAAAAAATACTTAATTATAGTGTTTTTTAAATTTCATAATGTAAGCTAAATGCACTTGCAATTTATTTTAGTTGGTCTTTTTTTATTTTTAAAACTGATCGTTTTGAAATTAAATATCACTCATCTGTATATATAAGTGTCGAATGTCTGTCTGTCTGTCTTACTGCGAACTACTCATTCATTAATGGGTTTCTCGATTCTTTTGCAAAAAGTGTCAAAATTTTTTTAATTTTTTGGGGATGGCGGCGATGGGGTTCGATTTTTGTTTTACCGTTTTTCTTGACACCGGGGCCAAAATTTTTCTAATTTTTTGGGGATTGCAACGATGGGTTTAATTTCTTTAAGAGAAAGCTTTGTTTTTGTGAAAAACTTTAGCACCGGTCTCAAGAAATTAAACCCATTGTCGCAATCACCGAAAAATTAGAAAAATTTTAGAACCGGTTTCAAGAAAATTGGTTATTTAATGCGTCCTTTTGGATTATCCTCAACGGGTGGAATACATAGGTACACACATACAAACATACTCGGGAATGGCAACGATGGGTTAAATTATTTTCTAAACCGATTTTTTTGAAACCGGGGCCTAAATTTTTCTAATTTTTCGGAGACGGCGACAATAGGTTATATTTTTTTCTAAACCGATCAACAATACTCATCTTTTAATGATTTTCTATTAAAAAAAAATTTAGAGAAAATTTGAACTTATGTACTCGATATTTCACTTACCGATTACCGATTTTATCCCTTGGTTTTCAAGGGCGTTTTTTAAGTAAAAAATCGAGGTTCTGTGTACATCGCGGGCGAACAATCTCGAAATTCTCGAAAAAACGTCCAGGAAAACCAAGGGATGATGTCGCTGATTGGTAAGTGAAATATCGAAAAAGCGGAAATGACTCAATAGTGTGAAACTCGAGTTGAAAAAGACCGGTTACAACATGTTCAATCAAGGAAAACATTTATGCGGTCCGATTTGAAATTAGAGGCATTTAATTATGATTCAAATTACGAATATCAATTTCACCCGAGAGTAATAATTGGGAAAATGGATGCAATATGTGATCATTGTCAAGCAAAAAAGTTTAAAACTTAAGCACCTGGAATGTGTTGTTCAAGCGGAAAAGTTAAACTACCGCCTTTAAATCAACCATCCGACACACTCTTTATGTTTGTCCACAATAAGGATATTGAAACACAAATGAAGTCGTTTGAAGAAAAACGAGTAACCAGCTAGTTTGATAATAATTTTGTTGTTAAACATTTATTGAGCGATATTTAGAACGATGCAAAGTCGGGCAAAAATGAAAGTGGCGGGTAATAGTGTGCAGTTTGGAAATTGCCAAAATTTGTGTCTGCAGCGGATAAATTTTAAACATTTTTGTTTAAATCATTAGTTTTAAGAATAGTTAATGTGCGTGATAATAAATAATTAAAAATTAAACGCAAAACTTTAAAAACAAAAGGATATTAAAAAAAATTTTTTTTTAATCAAGTAGAATTGACTTATGACTTCAACGCACGATTAATTTGACATAAATATATATATATATAAATTCGAATATAAATAAACTATATATGCATGTATATAAAATCGAGATAAATAAAAGCCGCGCACTATTCCCTGATTTGTTATTCCGAGACAATTTTGTCAATTACTCGCGAACTGCAAATGAAATTATGAGACCAACGCGGCAAAAGGTTCCTAAGAGATCATATTTCACTATGTTATACCAATTACAGTAGCAAATAAAAATTGCCCACTTACAAGCTTAACTCCTGTTGCTTCAAAATTGTAAGAAAACGGGCGCATTTTTTTTTGCTTCCTCCGTTCAAATGAAGCTTTGAGCTGGGATAAAATGTATCTATACTATCTAGAATTGACGTAAGCTTTGAATTTTGTCACTCACGTGTCACCAGCTATCGTCGCAGTCTCAAGCTTGAGGTGCGCACTATTACCTACTGACGAGTCCTGTTTCCCTACTTTTCCCTGATCTCGAATTTCTGTAATATGCTAATGTCAAACAATTAATGTCTATAAACTGAATTAATGTCTGACTGAATTTGTAGTTAATAGATAAGTAAAACACGGTATATATGATATAAAATTAAGTTAGGGAGAAACACTATTTTAACGTAATTGATCTATTCTACCTTCAGTTGAGATGAAGAAATGTACATAAATACACGAATAATTATATTAGGCTACCAAAATCCTGTCCTGATTATAAAATGGCGTATCTCTCTAATTAAACTTATGATATTTTGTACGTTACAATGACGTTCCTTCTTAATTTGATTGTATATATTATATCGGTCGTGTTTCACTTAATTGCTTATTGTATATACGTCGCCTGAAACTCCTGAAAGAGACGTTTTTTTCCCAATATACATATAATTTTGTGAGTTTGCATTTAAACATAAGACGACGGATACATCTTATCACCAATTAAAACGGTCGATAATCATAGAATGTTTTCACGAAAAATTGTCAAAATAAATTAGGTTGCTGCAAATAATTTCAAGGATAACGAATAAAACATTAATACTACTATGCTGACATTTGCAGACCTACAACGTATATTCAAATATTATAAAAAACCGTTGATTGTTTGCTAATAAAAATTTTTATTAATCACTAATCATCTATATAATATGTGGAAGGCAGATTTCAGTTGTCCATATCATATAGATTTTATTAAATAGAGTTATTTAATTTGAATACCTATAAAAACTAAGTATAAATCACATATTTTATATATCTGCTCCGAATTTTAATACTATAATGTCAAATATATAAATATTTAATCTAAATTTTTGAATTGTATATATCTATAATGTAAAAGAACGTGAAAATAAGCGACTCATATTTATTTAAATTATGCGAAATAATTGAAATACTATATTATTATTACGATTTGAGAAGCACATTTATGATCGAAATTGCAAATAAGTGTTACATGGGTGCCCCTATGAAAACTTTTATTCGCTTAATTTTTTCAGCTATTAATTGTTTATCATTATATTTATTTTATAGTCTTTAGTATTTTAATAATTTTTTGAACGTGTACTTACTCATCTAGACTCAGGATTCTTGTGGAATGTCTTCTTAAATGTTTTCGTAAACGAGCATTATTTGTTAAAAAAGATATTGTTTTACTACAATCATTACATTTTGCCTTATATCTCGGTAACTCCGAGTAATATTGTCTCAAGTCGTCAGATAATGTAAAAGTGTCATTATTGAGAAATATTTCATGTCTATTTAAATGTTTTATCATTATTCCTGTGCTGTTTGATGGATGAGGCATATGAATTTCTATTTTACAAATTGCGCACTTTACCAGCGAAGGTTTCAATTCCTCGAAATAATTCCACAACTTGTTGCGTTTTCTTTTCGGTGCCATTATAACCGTCCTGTAATACAGATTTTCTGATATATACAAAATGTGATACAGTGGGCGCCTTAAAAAGTGCTTGTAGACTTTCTCACAAAAGTCAAATAGAGGTATAGTTTTTTTAAATTAGAGTGTATGTTTATACATACAAAAAAATAATTATTCGACAGCCAAGAAAAGCACTTTACTTATTTTATTATACTTCTTTTAAATAAGTTTTCTTATAACAATAGTATCTTGTGTGGCAAGTGTGGAAAACAACGAATTACGTCGCGCGTGAAGTTGCCGCATGGGCCGAAGGCTTATGGTGAATTCACACGAGTACAAGTGTGAATGCACCATAAGCTGAGGCAAATGCGACAACTTCACGCGCGACGTAGTTTGTTGTTTTCCGCAAATGTCACACACAATATTTTTTGTAATGCCTGTCGGAAAGTTCGATTTGAGATTAAAGAATTAATTGAAATTAAATTCAAATAAGAAATAGTATTTGGCGTTATATTTATTCATCGCTAAAATAAAATGTGATATTTGAACAATTATTAAAATATTAAGCGTAATGTTTTTTGAAGATGTTTGCAAAGATGGTTCAGAATTTTGATTAAGAATTTTCATTATTTGATTGCAGTGCATTTATATTCACTTTGCAGAAACTTTGTGAGCTTCTTATTATTTTTTATGTTGACAGAATTGATGTTGAAGTAGCAGGAATATTGGAGTTCCTTACATTAACGAAATGGGTGATTTTCTCACATATCCGTCGTTTGTTGTTTACTGAACCCTCTATATAACTTTCGGCGATCTGATTAGACTTCCATCCCCCGTGACATTTCAATGTATTGTAATGTCGGCTCCAGCATCAGCATCAAGTAAAGTTGCTGAAGTTCGTCGGAAAGTGTGACCAGTATAATTTTCGGGATCTGGTAAATTTAAATACTTGGCGATTTCTTTTGGCATGCCCCCGAATTTGTTAATTTCAATCGGTTGTTGGGTACATTTCCCATTTTGATAATTAAAAAAAAAACCAGTTAGATTTTGAGTTGGCTGGACGTAAAACTATATATATATATATATATTTTTTTTTTTAATTTCGTGGAATGCGCCGTTGATTGTGAATGATCGTTTAATATGCGTTTTAGTATTTGGGAAGCTCACGAGGATCGTCGATAAGTCATAATTTTTTACATCATTGATTGTAATATTGCAAAGTTCTTCTCTCCTACATGCGCCAGTTATTCCGAGAAGCAGAGCAGCTTGTAATTACCATGGCAATGAATTTTTTTGTAAATTTAAGTGTCTAAATTTTGATTTTTACCTTTGTTGCTAAATATTTATTATCCGGGGCTTTATTTATAAATTTTTCAATTTTATCCGATGTGATAACTTTTGATTTTTTGCGGACAAATTCGGTTAATTTTGCCGGTCTTTTCAAGATTGCATTGAGTTTCGCATAATTTTCTATATTGACGTTCTGATGTATATTCAAAGTACTTTTTAGCATCGAGTAGTGAGACTAAAGGGTTGTTGGTTTCGCATTTTTTGACAATTCATCACAATATGCCATTAAGACATTTTCCGAAAATAAGGTTGTATTTTTAGATGCTCTCCATTCCATAAAATTTTCATAAATACTCATATATTTATCTTTTGATTTCTTCGGTAGTAAATTCTCTGTAGCAGATCCAGCTGCTTTCCACCGGCGTGGACGGTTTTGGACAATAATTGTTTTCTTTATTTATTTTATTCTTCTTGAATGATGACGGTTGTAACGAATTGACGTTTTGTCTCACGGAAATTTTTAAAATAAAAACTATCAACCGTGAAAAAAAGGAAGTTTTTTTACACATTAGTGCGGTAAAGTAAGTTATAAAGGTGCTTTTTTCGTACTAGTGCGATAAAGTAAGGCATATATTGAATTGTTGAGAAATAAGCCACTTTTCGCACGTTAAACAGCAATCGAAAATCGAACTTTCGCGACAGGCATTACAAAAAGAATATTTTTTTACTAATAGTTTTCAAACCTTTATGTCTATTACTTTATACATAAGGTTTTATGTATCCTGCAAATCTACCATAAAATCATAGTAAAAATTACATTTACTTAAAACAATATTCTTAACTTGTGTCAAGATATTTGATAACTATTAGTAAGAAAATATTCTTGGTTGTGAGAAAACTTGCTTAAAAAAAGTATAATAAAATAAGTATAGTATATTGTGCACCAAGGGGCGAAAGTAGCGTTTTTCCGCCATTCTTAGCTGTTTAGCGGGACAAAAGTGATCACTTTCCGCCCTAGGAAGGAAAGTGTTACTTTTCGTCCCGCTAATGCCGTCCTGGCGTGAAATTAGTCACTTTTGCCCCTCTCTACAGGCATGGAAAGTTGAACTTTCTGTGAAGGTGTTGTGAAAAAGTGCTTTTCTTGTGGATGTAGAATGATTATTTTTCTGTGTATATGGATATATATAATTTAAATTTTTTAAATTACCAGATCCGTATAGATATACAAAAGCTACATTTTTCTAAAAAGGGTAAATAACGCCAATAACCAAATATCCGTGGCACCGTGCTCTATACAAACTCATTACTAAAAAAAAATCTTGAAATAATATTTGATGTTATAATTTCATTTGTATTTTTTACTATAAAAACAATAATATCAGAATTTTTGCACCAAGTAAATATGATAAATTAGTAACATCTGATGTTTTTTTAAACTATTTATAATAATACCCCAAAGTTTGCATCAAGTGAATAGGATAAATTAGTAGTAACATCTGATTTTCTTAATAATGTTTTTTTATTATAGTTGTTGGGAACGTGTTCTTTTTTAGATCTTTATAATATTTGTTGTGTACGCATTCTTTTTTAGATAGGGGAACGTGGGGCAAAACGGGGTACCCCCTTTATTTTCCCCCCCACTTGGCGCTATCCATCGGATTTTTTTGAAATTTTATTATTCGATAATGAGCCATTGTTTTGACAGTCACTGGCTTTATTGTGATGCGTAGTTCCATCATTTTCACAAGTCGTGTCCAGTTTGAACACCGTATTAGAATATTGCGACATCATATTTGCTGTTTCAACTAAAAACGTGAGTAAGTATTATTTTGAACTCTTACAATTCTTTGAGATTCGGTCAATTAATTCCCGAAGAATTGGAAAAAATTTGGTACCGGCTTCCAAAAAAATCGGTAACAAAAAATTATACACTTTATAGCATTCCCCAGAAAATTCTACCCCTGTTTCATAAGTAATTCTTTGAGATTTGGTCAATTATTTCCCGAAAAATTAGAAAAATTAGAAAAACCGGTTTCTAGAAAATCGGTAACAAAAAACTATACACATCATGGCACTCCCAGGAAAATTCAACCCCTATTTCATATACTTTTGGTAAAAATTCTGTCCACTAACCAATGAGTAGTTTGCGGTCAGACAAACAGACAGACAGACAGACAGAAGACGGTACTTATATAATAGATGAAACCTAAATGTTGCTTCGGGACAAAACGGGGTGGGGATAACTACCCTCAGTACCGGGGTACGACTTAGGAAGGATCCAGCAATAGCGAAGTTGTTAAAGATGACCAGTGCCTTTCTACTGCCGTGATTATTCCGACGAAGGCTGGATTCGTTGCGCCGCTTGTGCGCGATGGGCACATAACTCATGCGCAAGAATTGACGATGAAGACATTGTTTATGTCTGTGTTTTGTGTGAAAATAAATAATTATGGAATATATACGTTTGTCTCAACTAACAATAAACATTTTGTTCCTTTACTTGGACGGTTCAATTTTGAAATGAAATATTTAGAACGAGTAAATAGAGGTATCCCATTTTACCCCGCCATTTTATGGGGCAAAATGGGGCAAAAGACAATTTTTCAAAGATTGCTTTCTGAAACAATCATTCGTACATGTTTGTTAGTTTCAACCATTGTCATATGTAAAGAAGGGTTCAATGAAGGGATCCGTGCAGAAAAAAATAGATGTTTTTTTATATTTAATAATTATTTTATGTGGTTAAACATTAAGTACCCCGTTTTGCTCCATCTTCCTCTAATAATAAAGAAACTATAATAAAGAAACATTATTTAAAAAATTAAATGTTACTAATTTATCTTATTCACTTGATGCAAATTTTGGGGTATAATTGTTTTTGTAACAAGAAAAACAATTAAAATTATATGACAAAATTAAATAAAAAATTTTTTCAATAAAGATTGTGTATGGAGCACGTATACCTGGCGCATTTTATTAACTTTAAAAAAAAAAGTATGTTTTGTACGGATATTTCTTCTTTTTTTATAATTACTCCATGAAAATATAAAACTTTTGATATATTAATTTGCAAATAAAAAACGTGGACAATAAGAAAGCAAAGGTATTGTTCTGCAGTATTTTAACGTTCTGCAGAAGGATTTGTATCACAACACGTTGAACTTAAAATGCTTGCTCTGCATCGAAATGTGTTAAATTAGAAATGGAAATAATGGAATTATATAAAATATTAACCTTATAAATTATTCTTTGCAGAAAAGTAAATATTTTAATAATAAGATATTACTATGTTGTGTGATACAATTAAGCAAAACAAATAATTACCCATCACATGCCCTTGTTTCTTTTCTCGATTGTTCACATGTTTGAGGATCCAAATCAACTGTTTCCTGACTGTGACATTCTGCGGTAGAATTCGTATTATAACCCGTTGAAATTGAAGTGCTTGATCTGCATTGAAATACACGGTGTAATATTAGAAATAAAATTATTTAATATATTAATATTATAAATTATTCTTTTTGCAGAAGAGTAAGTATTTCAATATTAAGATATCATTATATTGTATAATATAAACATAACAAATAATTACCTAACACGTGCTTTTGTTTCTTTTTTCAATTGCTCACATGATTGAAGAGCCAAATCAACTGTTTCCTGATTTTGATGTTCTGCATTGGGATCTATATCGTAACTCGTTGAACTTGAAGGTTTTGGCCTGTATTGAAAAACGGTGCCATTAGAAACGGAATTATTCAAAATATTAACGTTATATAAATTACTGTTGCAAAAGAGTAAAAATTTAAATATTGAGATATCATTGTATTGCATGATATAAGAAAGGCGAATAATTACTCATTAAGTGTGCCTGTTGTTTCTGTAGTTTCTTTAAATGGTTGAACGGGCAAGTCAGATGTATCTTGACTTTGACGTTTTGCAGAATTATCCGTAATATAATCCACTACAGTTGAAGTGCTTGGTCTGCATTAAAATACGGAGCAATTAGAAATGATTAGGGATTATTTGAAACATTAACATTGTAAATTATTCTTTTGCAAAAGAGTAAATATTTAAATATTAAGATATCATTATATTGTATGATATAAGCAATACGAATAATTACTCATCAAGTTCGCTTGTTTTTTCTATCGCTTCTTTAAATGATTGAACAGGCAAACCAGGTGGTTCTTGTTTTTGACTTTGACGTAAATGGTTGTTCTCTGTCGTCGGAGCAGAGTGTATTGTTTTAAGCCGACTAACTTTGGCTAGGGCGTCCTTGGAGATGAATCTCCCGCAGAGCACGGATGTTATTACCGGAAAACGATTCTGCCGGTTTTGATGTTGCAGAATTACATTTTTTTCTGTAGAAGGATCCATAATATAACCCGTTGAACTTGAAGTGCTTGGTCTGCATTGAAATACGGTGCAATTAAAAATAATGTTATTTAAAATATTAAGGTTATAAATTATTTATTTGCAGAAGAGTATAAATATTTCAATAGTAAGATATCATTACATTGTATGATGTATACAAAACAAATAATTACCCATCACATGTCCTTGTTTCTTTTCTCGATTGTTCACAAGATTGAAGAGCCAAATCAACTGTTTCTTGAGTTTGACGTTCTGCATTCGGATCCATATCGGTACCTGTTGAACTTGAAGTGCTTGGTCTGCATTTAGAAACGGAATTGTGTAAAATATTAACATTGTAAAGCATTACTTTGCAAAAGAGTAAATATTTAAATATCAATATTGCATTACATTGTATGATAAGAAAAACGAATAATTACTCATTAAGTGCGCCTGTTTTTTTTGTCGTTTCCTTAAATGATTGAACGGGCAAACTAGATGTGTCTTGACTTTGACGTTCTGCAGAATTATCCATAATATAATCCACTAAAGTTGAAGTGCTTGGTCTGCATAGAAATGTAGTGTAATTAAAAATAGAAATAAGTAATAATTCTTAACATACTATATAAATTGTACGTATTACTTAATCCTACTATATACTTAGGTCTTGAAATAAGATCCGGCTATAAATACTGGCCTTATTCACCGTAATGGAGTGAAGTTTTGTAAGTAAGTATGAGAAGGAAAAAAAGAAAGAGAAAGAGATAGAGAAAGAATTCTTTATATCTCTTTATATAGGGTTTTAATTCGTGCTTAAATAGGATGATTATCACGGCAAATAATTATACTAACGTGGTTGATTTCTTTGGTGACAATGCATCTACCTTTAAACAGAAACTCATTCGCTTACTTTCATAACATACATTATGGATACCTATTATTCTTTTATTACTCTTTTTATACCTACTTTATTTTAATTCTGTAAACTGCAGGTTTCTCATTTGTATATACTAAAGAGTTTTTCTCACAAATACAGATTATTATTATTACTAGGGGAAAGTGGGGTAATAGTGCGCACCTAAGTTAAATCTGTTAATATGAAATGGTTTTTATAAACCGATATTTCTTCTTTTGCTTCCTCATAGAGGAAGCTTTGTGATAGTAAAAAAAAATTTTTTTAGATTTTGATGGAAATAGGTTTAGAATGTTCCAAAATGTCGAGAAATCATATTAGTAGAAAATGTTCGGAAGTATGTATGTGTGGCGTGTGTGTGTGTGTGTGTGTGTGTGTACGGATTTTTTGTACACGCATTTACTTCTACAATTTTTTAGATACCGGGTTGAATTTTGGTACACAAATAGAGTATCATAGAAAATATGTTCTCCTCTAGTTTTATTAAAATCTGTCGACCGGTATGGATTTTAAGGAAATTTTTATTTTTTTAAATTTTTAAATATTAACGTTATAAATTATTCATATGTAGAAAAGTATAAATATTTCAATAGTAAGATATCATTATATTGTATGTTGTAGACAAAACAAATAATTACCCATCACATGCCCTTGTTTCCTTTCTCGATTGTTCATATGTTTGAGGATCTAAATCAACTGTTTTCTGACTTTGACATTTTGAGGTAGGATTTGTATTATAACCCGTTGAAATTGAAGTGTTTGATCTGCATTAAAATGCAGAATAATTAAAAATGGAAAATATGTAAATGGAATTCTTTAAAACATTAACGTAAATTATTCTTTTGCAAAAGAGTAAATATTTAAATATCAAGATATCATTATATTGTATGTAGAATGACACATCGAATTGACGTCTATAACTGACGTCGAAATTATCGATATTATATCATATCGAAATAATACTCAAAATTTGAAGCTTATTTCGATGTGTGTGTGTGTGTTTGTGCTTTATAACATTTTTTAAAAGAAGAGATTATTTGTGACACACATTCATCGCGCCAGACTTTAAACATCAGGCAAATTCTACACCTTCTATTAAGACATCGATATTTCATCATTTTGATATCGATTCGAAGCTATTTGCCTGTCAAATATAATAACATTGCTATTATATGTATAGAATGCAATATGAATAAAAAATTATATTGTATTGGCAGACATGGATAATGTAAACATGTAAAGATTTTATGATTTGAGCATAAAATTAATTCTTTTATGCTTTCATTTCCATTAAATAAGTACTTTATAACTGTAAAAGTCAAAACAAAATTCCTGTTAGTAATTTGACAATTGTTTTAAAAATTGAAACTACATTCGCTTCTTTATTAAACTAGAAGTTAAATTAAGCAACTAATTAAATATTAATATGAAATGTTAATACAATAAGATATTTGTATTTACATTTATCTACATAGTATATACATAGAAATAAATAGTTATTGGTTGCAACTTTTAATTGTATTTATATTTTAATAAAAAATGAGACATATAAATCTTTTTTGCACTGTATGTCGAATTAAAATTATATTTCTAAAGTTTTGCTTCTCATGTTATAAAATTTTCAATATTTAATATTGATCATCAAATGTTCAATAATATTTGATAAAATATTGAAGACTAGATTTGTAATGTCATAGTTATTTAATTTTATTAGTGTATATTTAATTAATGTAAATTAATTTTATATATAAACCAATTTTTAGAAATGCATTGTTTGAATTGCATATATTCATTTACTAACGGAAGAACAACAAAAAATATAATTTTCAATATATTTTACGAATATACTATTGAACAATAAGTAGTGGAATGTGAATATATTCATTTATTTGTATAATACAAAAAAAAGTTTATATGTTTTCTTGTTTCTGATAATCTACTTCAATGTAGGGCCAATTTCATAGTCTTCGATTAACTTGATCTTCCGATTAAAACGTACTCTTCAATCGGAGACGATGAAAGAGGCCCATAGCTGTAGAAAATAATATTTAATAGCTAGTGAGAAAATAATATTTAATATCGAGTCAAAATTGATTTATTCTGAGTAAAAAAGTCATCGAAAGTTGTGACATAAATCAATCAAAATCGATGAATATTTCAATTATTTTTCAATATATGTTTTCGACGTCAATTAGACGTTGATAGGTTGCTGGGTTTATGATCAAAATTGCAAGTAAATATTATATGGATGCTCTGATAAAACTTTTTTCCGTTCAATTTTTTTTAGCTATTGATTGTTTCATCATTACATTCATTTTATAATTATTAGTAATTTAATAATTTTTTGAATGTATAATACACTTACTCATCTCGACTCTGAATTCTTGTGGAATGTCTTTCTAAATGTTGTCGTAAAGGTGCTGTATTTGTTAAGAAAGACAATGTTTTGCAACAATCTTTACATTTTGCTTTATGCCCCGGTAACTCCGAGTAATATTGCCTTAAGTCATCAGGTAGTTTGAAAGTGTCATCATTGAGAGATATTCCATGTCTTTTTAATAAGTGTACTCTTATTATTTTTGTGCGCATTGTTGGATTAGGTGTCTTAATTTCTTTTTTACAGATCGTGCACTTTACCAGCGAAAGTTTCAATTCCTTGAAATAATTCCACAACTTTCTGCGTCTTCCTTTTGGTGCCGTCCTGTAATACAGATTGTCTGATACTACATGTGATACAGTTATCGCCTCAATAAGCAAAAAAAGGCATGGTTTATTTAGTGGAATGCACGTTTATGTGGATAGTTCAAATTTACCACATCGCGTACAAATCTTCAAACTTACTTTTATTCTAAGAAAGATAAAAAACGCGCCAAGTGTACGTGTTTTATACAAAATTTTTATTAAAAAATATTTTTATTAAAAAATATTTATTGTGTATCTGTTCTAAAAAAGAATATACACAACAAGTATAATAATAAAACATAATTAAGAAAATCAGATGTTACTAATTGATCATATTTACTTGATGTAAATCTTCCGGTATTATTGTTTTCGTAGCAAGAAATACAAATAAAATAATATGACCAAATTATATCAAAATCTTTTTCAATAAAGATTTTGTATAGAACATACATACTTGGCGCGTTTGTTTAACTTTCTTTTTGTAAGTATGTTTATTTATACGGATACAACGCCTTTTTACAAGTACACAAAAACTATAGAAATATAAAATTTTGATATTTTGCAAATAAAATAGACGTGGACAATACAAAAGCAACGGTACTGCAGTGTTTTGACGTTCTGCAGAAGGATTCGTATATATCATAACCCGTTGGCTTGCATCGAAATGTAGTGCAATTAGAAATGGAATTATATAAAATATTAACGTTATAAATCATTCTTTTGCAGAAGAATAAATATTTCAATAGTAAGATATCATTGTCTGATATAAACAATACAGCAAAACAAATAATTACTGATTAATTACGCTTGTTTTTTCTGTTGTTTCTTTAAGTAATTGAACGGGCAAATTAGATGTATCTTGACTTTGACGTTACTAATGTTGAAGAAAAAATAGTTCAGTTTACTAAAGTTGAAGAAAAAATATGTAGTGTGCAAAAAATATTATTAAACTACTAAATAATTTATTTTTGTTATTGCGATAAATATTACCACATGCCTCAGTGGTCGAATTGGTACGACACCCTTCACGGAATGAGAGAAGTTCCAGGTTCGAATCCTGGCTGAGGTAATATTTTTTGCAATAATTTCTTTATAGTTTTTAGATAATTAAATCGCGTCAATTTAATTTCGGGGAAAGAAGGGTTTGTAATGTTCTAATGTTCCAATGATAGCTGTGTTTCAAGTCCGACAAAAAATCGGCGCGCAGTTTATTAAGTTGGAATATATACAGGGTGTCAATTTGAAAACTTTCAGTCGAAATATCTCGAGAATTAGTAACGATATCAAAACACGATTTGGAGAGAATGTAGGGGAGCAAGGGGGACATACTTTGATTAAAAAAAATTTGACCTTGGGTGGAGACATCAAAGTCAAATAAAGGTCTACTTAATTTTTATAAGTAATTTTAAAGTATTTCTATAAGTTTAGTAGAGAAGCTGCAGCTGCAAAAGGTGTCTCATAACATATACAAAAACAATAATACTGTGAGCCTGCATTTGGTCATTTGACCTTCGAAGATTTTTGATCATAGCGCGTTGAGCTCATAATGAGAAGGGTTACAAACGTAGATGTTTAAAAAATTATGTGTCCATTTAAAAAAATTAAGTTGACCTTTATTTGACCACGACGCTTCCATCCAAGGTCAAACTTTTTTAATCAAAGTATGTCCTCCTTGCTACCCTATATTCTTTCCAAAACGTGTTTTGGTATCTTTACTAGTTACCGAGATATTCTGACTGTAAGTTTTCAAATTGACACCCTGTATATGTGTTATATGTATACACTGTAATTTATTAATTTTTATATTTGCGCACCATGTACTTTTATTCGCTCAATTTTCTTCAGCTATTAATTGTTTTATCATTACATTTATTTTATAATTTTTAATAATTTATTATTTTTTTGAATGTGTACTTACTCATCTTGACTCTGGATTTTTGTAGAATGTCTTATTAAATGTTCTCGTAAATATACCATACTTGTTAAGAAAGTAAATGTTTTGCCACAATCTTTACATTTTGCCTTATATTCCGGTAACTCCGAGTAATATTGTTTTAAGACATCAGGTAGTATGTAAGTGTCATTATCGACAGATATTCCATGTTTAATTAATAAGTGTTCTCTGAATATTTGTACGCTGTTTGAATAATGTATCTTAATTTCTTCTTTACAGATCGTGCACTTTACCAGCGAAGGATTATTCAGTTCCTCGAAATAATTCCAAAACTTGCTGCGTTTTCTTCCCCATGTCATTGTAACCGTCCTGTAACACAGATTGTCTGATAAATGTGATGCAATTAGCGCTTTAAAAAGCGCTTGTAAAATTTCTCACAAAGGTAACAAAAAAGATATGGTTTTTTTATTGGGACGCATGTTTATATGGATATATAGTTTGAATTTACATAATTACCAGATTGCGTATAGATTTACAAAAGTTACATTTTACTGAAAAGGTAAATAACGCCAATAACCAAATATATATGTCCGTGCTCTATACAATTTTATTATTGAAGAAATTTTGATATAATATTTTATGTTATAACTTTATTTGTATTTTTTACTGTAAAAACAATAAAAATTTGCATCAAGTGAATAGAATAAATTATAATAGTAACATCAGATTTTCTTAGTGAGGTTCTTTTATTACAGTTGTTGAATACGTGTTTTCTTTTTTTAGATCTTTATTATATATTTGTTATGTACTTGTTCTTTTTCAGATAATAATAAAGGAACTATAATAAAGAAACATTATTTAAAAAATAAAAATTTATTAATTTATCTTATCTACTTGATGCAAACTTTGGGGTGCCATTGTTTTTGTAGCAAGAAAAACAATTAAAATTATATAACAAAATTAGATCAATATTTTTTTCAATACTGATTGTGTATGGAGCACGTATACCTGGCGCATTTTATTAACTTTAAAAAAAAAAAGTATGTTTTGTACGGATATCACTCCTTTTTTTTACAATTACATGGGAATCATGAAAATATAAAACTTTTGATACATTAATTTGCAAATAAAAAACGTGGACAATAAGAAAGCAAAGGTATTTTTCTGCAGCATTTTAACGTTCTGCAGAAGGATTTGTATCATAACACGTTGAACTTGAAATGCTCTGCATCGAATTGTGTTGAATTATAAATGGAATTATATAAAACTAGGTTTTTTGCCCGCGCGAAGCGCAGGTTATAATTAACCATATAAAATATTCTTTGCAGAAAAGTAAATATTTCAATAATAAGATATCATTATATTGTGTGATACAAGCAAAACAAATAATTACCCATCACATGCCCTTGTTTCTTTTCTCGATTGTTTACATGTTTGAGAATCCAAATCAACTGTTTCCTGACTGTGACATTCTGCGGTAGAATTTGTATTATAACCCGTTGAAATTGAAGTGCTTGATCTGCATTGAAATACGGTGCAATTAAAAATAGAAAATATGTAAATGGAAATTATTTAAAATATTAACGTTCTAAATCATTACTTTGCAAAAGAGTAAATATTTAAATATTAATATATTATTATATTGTATGATATAAGCAAAACTAATAGCTACTCATTAAGTGCGCCTTTAAATAATTGAATGGGCAAACTAGATGTATCTTGATTTTGGCGTTCTGCAAGAGGATCCATTCTATAATCCGCTAAACTTGAAGTGCTTGATCTGTGTAGAAATGTGGTGTGATTAAAAATAAAGAGAAAAGAATATACTCAAAAGCTATATAGTTATTTAAAATGTTTGTTGTAAAATGTACTTGTGCAGAAAAGTCAATATTAAACAATTTGAATACTATTAAATTATATAAGCAAAACAAATAATTACTTCTCAAGTATTCCTGCATTTTCTGCCGTTTCTTTAAATGATTGAACGGACAAACCAGGTGATTCTTGGCTTTGACATTCTACAGTAGGTCTCGTATCAAATCCCATTGTAATTGAAGTTCTTGGTCTGCTCATTGAAATGGTGCAATTAGAAATAGAATTATTTAAAATATTGGCGTTATGTATTTATGCAAAGAGATCAATATTTAACTATTTGGGTACTGTTACATTGTATAATATGAAGAAAACGAATAGCTACCTTTCAATTGTGTCCAATGCTATTCTTATTTGTTCAGATAACAGAATGGGCAAACCAGGTGATTCTTGGCTTTGACATTCTGTAGAAGGATTTGTATCATGACCCGTTAAACTTGAAATGCTTGGTCTGCATCGAAATGATGCAATTAGAAATAGAATTATTTAAAATATTAACCTTATAAATTATTCTTTTGAAGAAGAGTAAATATTTCAATAATAAGATTGTATTATATTGTATAATATAAACGAAATAAATAATTACCCATCACGTGCCCTTGTTTCTTTTCTCAATTGTTCACATGTTTGAAGAGCCAAATCAACTGTTTCCTGACTTTGACATTCTGCAGTATGATTCGTATTATAACCAGTTGAAATTGAAGAGCTTGATCTGAATTAAAATACGGAACAATTAGAAATCGAATTATTTAAAATAAAGTTGTTAATTAATTTTTTGCAAAAAGTAAATATTTAAGTATCAAGATATCATTATGTTGTATAATATAAGCAAAAGAAATAATTACTCATTAAGTGCGCCTGTTTTTTCTGTCGTTTCTTTAAATGCTTGAACGGGCAAACCAGATGTATGTTGACTTTGACGTTCTACAGAAGAATCCATAACACATGTCGAAGTTGAAGTGCTTGGACTGCATAGAAATGTGGCGTAATTAAAAATAGAAAAAGTAATAATTATTAAAATACTACAACTGTACGTAGTACTGCTATTATGTACTTGTTGATGATAAACCGTCATAAAGTGAAGTTTTGTGAGTGAGAAAGGAAAGGAGGAAGATAGATAGGAGAGGGAGAGGGAAAGGAGGGAAGGAGGAAAGAGAGAGAGAGGGAGAGGGA